ACCCCAAAACTCCTCAAAGAACCCCCAAACTCCTCAAGGAACCCCAAAACTCTTCAGAGAACCCCCAAACTGCGCACCAGCATCAAGGTTTCCAGCAGCATCCTGCGGATCTCGGGCTCCTCCTCCCTGCGGTGCTCCGGGGGCAGGTACTGCAGATCCACGGGGAGCTCTGCAGCGGGAACAAACCCCTCGGGAACACCCGGGCCAGTCCCAAAAACCCCAAAAAATTCCCAAAAACGCCCCAAATCCCACTCACGCTCCATCTGCTCCTCGGGGAGCTCCTCGGGGCCGGCCAGCGGCAGCAGCAGCGGCGGCAGCGCCTCCACGGCGGGGCCCAGCAGCCACTCGTGCTTCTCTGGGAATTCCGGGTGTTGGGAATCTCGTCCTGGCGTCCCCCACCCTCCTCAGCGCCCCAATCCCAATGCCATATACCCCACAGATCCCATATCCCATTTATCCCATATCCCAAATATCCCAAAATTCCCAGATTTTTACCGTGCTGGAAGCAGCAGTTCCTCAGAGCTCCATTTCCGTATATCCCATATATCTCATATATCCCAAATCTCATATCCCATATATCCCATATCCCAAATATCCCAAAATTCCCAGATTTTTACCGTGCTGGAAGCAGCAGTTCCTCAGAGCTCCATTCCCATACATCCCATAGATCCCATAGATCCCAGATCCCATATCCCATTTATCCCATATCCCAAATATCCCAAATTCCCGGATTTTTACCCTGCTGGAAGCAGCAGTTTCTCAGAGCTCCATTCCTGTATATCCCATACCTCCCATAGATCCCATAGATCCCATATCCCATATATCCCATATCCCAAATATCCCAAATTCCCGGATTTTTACCCTGCTGGAAGCAGCAGTTTCTCAGAGCTCCATTCCTGTATATCCCATACCTCCCATAGATCCCATAGATCCCATATCCCATATATCCCATATCCCAAATATCCCAAATTCCCGGATTTTTACCCTGCTGGAAGCAGCAGTTTCTCAGAGCTCCATTCCTGTATATCCCATACCTCCCATAGATCCCATAGATCCCATATCCCATATATCCCATATCCCAAATATCCCAAATTCCCGGATTTTTACCCTGCTGGAAGCAGCAGTTTCTCAGAGCTCCATTCCTGTATATCCCATACCTCCCATAGATCCCATAGATCCCATATCCCATATATCCCATATCCCAAATATCCCAAATTCCCGGATTTTTACCCTGCTGGAAGCAGCAGTTCCTCAGCGCCCCGTTCCCATTCCCATACCTCCCATATATCCCATATATCCCAAATCCCATATATCCCATATCCCAAAATTCCCCAAATTCCCAGATTTTAACTGTGCTGG